ATTTAAGCTTTAAAATTCCCAATATCTAAATTAATTATAACTTAGCTGTTAAGATTTCTTATGAGATCGCTTAATATGCTACAAGTGTGCGAATTTGTCTTTGACAGCAAAAGTTGGCAGAAAAGGCATTGAAAATATACCTCTTTCTTTGCAAACCTCTTCGGAAGCAAGTAAAAAGTGATGAACGTAATTCCTTAACTTCCGCTGCAAAAGAGCCATAATTCAAGTAGACTTATATATATATATATATATATAACAAAATGCAAAAGCAGAGAGGAACGTTACCAAGCAAAATATCCCCTTGCCTTTTCACGACTACAGTAATCCCGTAAAGCAGATGCGACAAGAGATAAAGGGAGAACTTCATCTTGCCATCAATTTCACTTACCGGAGTTGGAATCGTATTCACTAGAGACTCACTAAAACAGTTGCCAGTGTACTAAGCCTATTAAACTGGAAAAGATGCGGAAACGACTGCCTACATAAAGCCATGACTGCAACAAAACTTTCAAGATTAAATTACTCATACGTCTTGAAAAAAGTTAAATTTAAGACATATTAAAGTTTAACATACCAGTGTTTTACAGCATTAAATTCTTTGTATTTACTTTTTGGTATTGACTTTGTAATCCCATGAGCTGCCTTCCTGTAACATAGAACGAACAGGTTCAAAAAGTGGTCTACTGATCGACATGAAAAAGTCCAAATTTCATCTCTCAAAAAAAAAAAAGAATAAAACGTGGGTTAGGGCTACCAGAGAAGTGAATATGGTCCTTTTGTATCGAGCAAAACTGTCCCGAAAAACATTGTAGCCTTAAGGTGTCGTCAGCGAAAGAGGACTATGAACAACACTCACCGTTGCAAACGCCTATATATGTGTCAGCTAAAGTGTGCCCAATTGGGTTGCATAATCACCTTGGGCTAAAATTTATGGCGCACTTTTACACTAAATTTTGAATCACCTTAGTAACTTCAGGCAATATGAATATTTGAGACACATAAGTGCAGTACTGTACAGAAATAACACTTTAATAAATGACTTACGTTTCTGAAAGCGTCTTCTGATAACTTTTATGTTTAAGAATTTTTAGACGCAACAAGCTTTGTTTATAATTCTTTGCTGCTTGCGATACGCAACGGATAGGATAATTTTAGAGGGGAAAATTTGTTGCTGAGAGGAGCGGTAAACTTTCAGTTTGCTTGACAAATGAATTTTTAATAATGTAAATAAATAAATAAGTGTATATTATATATATCGAAGAAACGCCATCACCAAATTTTGGCAATTTGTAGAGCAAAAACCTGTACAAAGTGTTTTTCTAGTAGATTTGAAGATACGTTTTTTCTATTATTTCAAATCTTGTTCTCCTGAAATTTCAAAATTTTTTGGCAGAACTAGATTATTCAATGTGTATATAAAAGTGTGAATCTAATAAGCTAAGAGTGTTAAATTCTATTGAAGACATATTAAATTACAAGTCTGGAAAGATAGGCACGTCAAACGGCAAATTTGAAAATTTTACAATTTTGATGTGTAAATTGACAGGGAATCCATTTTTCCATACTTTGTCTTTGTTCTTCTGTTTAATAACTTAAACTTTGCTGATCAGTAAAGCTTGAAAACATTCTAAGATTTTGAGTGAAAAAGTGTGTTGATTGGCATGGAATTGTTAATGTATTCGATGACTGTCTGATTTCTGTAAACTTTCTTCATCAGACTGAATCATTAAAGTACCTTTAGAAAACAAAACTACGAAAAAAATTTATAAATTTTTTAGCTGATTCAGGTTGCTGATGTCTCTGACGTTAGGGAAGAACCACTGGAAAGCATTTTGTTTTCTGATTGTCTTCTGATGAACTCCGGTAAATCTGTTGACGACGTGGGTCGAAGAGGTTTCAATGTTTAGTCCTGTCAAGTTTGTTCTCGTTCTTTTTTTTTTTTTGTAAAATGAAATTTTTATCGAAAGATTCCGCTTCAGATGCGGTTGTTTCAAAAATGTTGTGTTGTTGTTATCTACTTCACCGGAATAAGCAAGTTTTGTTTCTCTTTTTTTTTTTCATTGACATTTGTTGAGAAATTCATGTTTAAGTAATCTGCTTGACTGTACCCAGTAAAATTACATTTCTAAGTTAATATATAGAAAAAATGCTAAGAAAGAGTTTAGCGATAATAATATAAGATATCCGCACAGAAGAATTCAACAGGATGATTCATTTCATGCAGTGGGTTAATGTGTTGCGGGATGCATCGCGGGTCAAATAAATACGCTTACATTTGCAGATTTTTAGGCAGAGTCAACGGTATAATTTTTTCGTACGTTTTTGTCTCAAATTCTTCAAGTTTCAGATGTTTTTTGCACAAAGGGTATTGTGTATGATTCTTTGCTACTTGAAACACGAAAAGAGAGAAGTTTAGAAGGCGAGGAGTTTTTACTAAAAGAGGTGTAAAATTTGATTTTTTTTTTTTGCAAAAGAAACGTATAAAGAAATGTAGAAGTAAAATAACCATTTTTATGACTTATAGACAATTCCTGGGCATTTTTAAGAGAATAATTAGCTGAAGTAATTGATTAATTAAAAGTTAAAAATATCGAAATGCGTATACTTTATAATTTTCAAAATTATTTGTTAGTTTAGACCGTTAATCGATCTGACGATGCAGATGGAGCAGGAGGAAGTATTAATTTTTTCAATTTTTCTTTTAAAAATATTAACTATTGCTAAATATGAGTGATTAAGCTTGCGCTGTTTACTGTTTTTTACGGCTCTATTAAACTGAGTAACCCTTATCAGTACAATACTGAAACGTGTTACTCTGACTACTGAGAAGACGCTATGATTTGGCAAAAAATTATAAAAATCTTTGTTTTTATCATGCTTTTTTATTTTTTTTTTCAAGTATTTGCGAGTTACCTTAATACTGTTGGTATAGCGCAGTGTTTGGCTAATTTTTTTTTTTCTATTCAAGAAAACTAGGCAGGTTGTGGTATAAAGTATATAGCAAAGCGAGACAAGACAAGATAAACTAGCATTAAAATGATTTCTTTTATAAAGATTTATTGATTTATAAATTTTAACTTTCAGATACTTCTAATTAATGTAGGTCTGAAAAAGAAGATAAACTGTAATATATTCATGAAAAGTTTTTCATCTGTTTCTTATACTTGCATCTCTCTTTCACTAATTAGCGGAATTAATTTTTAGAGTTGTTTTACTTAGAGTGCAACAAAAATGTAGTGGTTTTTCAAACAGTTTTCCTTACTTGTTGATAAAAAAAGTGGTGAAACCAACTGAAAAATCAGTAAATCATTTGAGAGTAAACGAGCAAACTTTTTATAATCTGAAAACGAACAAAGACTAGCGAAAAGTGAATACAGTTTAGGTAGACGCTGTAACCCTTAGAACCCAAGGTTACGAATTTTGACCTTAATTAATTGGGAAGACATATTTGTACCAGAAAAAAAAAGAAGAAAACAATGCTTCACGACAAGTAGTTAGTTACCATTTGGATGCAACAGAGAAGAAAAAGACTTTTAAAAATAGGAAGAAAGAGGAAAAATGTTTATGAGTTAATTTAGCTATCCGAAAAAAAAAAAACTATTTTTGCATTTTTTGGTGCAACAAAGTGCAGGCGAGCAGGAAATCAAAGTTTGACGTTTACTTTTTAACCGGAAAGATTGCAAAAACCAAAGCCTCAAGGCGCGTTCTGCAAACACATTTTAGTCTGACTGCTTGTCAACCTAAAAAAGTTCTTTCACAGTAGAGAGCTTTCGTTGTAGAGAAGGTGAACTAAATAACTGGAGAAACGAGCAAATAAAGGTTGTCGGTTTCACCGAACAGTGAATTAAAAATAAGGAAGATAAGCTTAATCAGTTTAACAAGATAAGAATTTAAATAGAATGACAGAAATCTATTTTTATGCAAAAAGCTGTTATGTGAAAATCCCTGTTCTGAAAAATTTGTCTTGAATATTTAAATCGAAAAAAATTCTTGGAAGCATGTGAGATGTAGTAACCGGTAAACAAGCAAAAATTTTACTGCTTTTCTTTTCAAAATGCAATGCATTTTTTCTTAATTCTGTTTTTCCCAGAAAAAAGAAGTTAGGGCTAAACAATCTGTCAGGATACTGATAAATGCGGAAAGAGATGGTATAAAAATTGGCCATTTTCGCAAACGAGAATGATTTACTGAAAGTAAATTACATAGAAGAGTGGCTTATCTTAATAGCATATCAGAAGCCTAATTTAAAATGACCAAAAAAAGTGCGTTTAGAGCTTACAGTCTTACATCGAAGACCGGTCTGAATCTATGTACAATAACAGTAAGAGAAAGTTGAAGCATCAATTTTTTATAGGTTTAATAGATACTGAAATAGGTTTGTTTGCGGTTTTAGAGAAGCTTTTTTAATACTTCAAAAAGAACTTATTTTTGAAACACTTTTTTTGGCCGAATAAGAAACAGATGTTACTCGATAGTAGGACGAGGTGAATGTTAGATTAATATAGATTATTATTTTATCTAAAGAAAACCTTTGGCACTCGAAATTACTAATTATTATTTTATGAGCGATTGTAGCTTAAAAATGCACACTTTTCAAATTTGTTGAGAACATTACAGTTTGAATCAAAGACTGTGAATGAAAACCTGAGCAACCTTGTCAGAAAGCAAAACTAAACAAAGCACTGTTGCTGTACAGAAT